TGCCCTTCTACTGCCCCCTCCCCGCTGTCCACAACGTCCTCAACCCTGTGCCTCAGCTCCCGTGTCAACTTGCTGGTGATCAATAACAATCTGCAAAAGGCAATAAAAAATTGCAGAAGTCAATACAAAAGTGCAAAAGGCAATACAAAATTGCAGAAGTCAGTACAAAAGTGCAAAAGGCAATACAAGAGTGCAAAAGGCAATACAAAAGTGCAAAAGGCACTGCAGAACTACAGAAGCCAGTTATTAAATTGTCATTTATGACCCAGTGCTGGCAGTGTTTGCGAGGGTCCCAGGATGAGGGAAGAGATTAATCCAACTCCATATTTCTTAGAAGGCTGATATATTATGATATTACATTATATTATAGAAATTACATACTAAAACTATACTGAAATATAGAGAGAAAGGATACGTCACAAACCTAGAAAAGGATGAATAATAAAAAACCCGTGACTGACCAGAGACTGCGACACAGCTGGACTGGGATTGGTCATTCAGTGCCGACGCCACCAGGTGACACTGCCCTGCTTCACGGTGTCACAGAGCCTACATAGAGGCAATACAAGAGTGCAAAAGGCAATACAAAAGTGCAAAAGGCACTGCAGAACTACAGAAGCCAGTTATTAAATTGTCATTTATGACCCAGTGCTGGCAGTGTTTGCGAGGGTCCCAGGATGAGGGAAGAGATTAATCCAACTCCATATTTCTTAGAAGGCTGATATATTAGGATATTACATTATATTATAGAAATTACATACTAAAACTATACTGAAATATAGAGAGAAAGGATACGTCACAAACCCAGAAAAGGATGAATAATAAAAAACTGACCAGAGACTACGACACAGCTGGACTGGGATTGGCCATTCAGTGCCGACGCCACCAGGTGACACTGCCCTGCTTCACGGTGTCATAGAGCCTACTGCTGAAGCTCTGCAGGGCCAAGGGCAGCGACTTCGGGGGCCCGGGCAGCAGCACATTCCTGTCCTGCCTGGCCGTAGTGGCCACCAGCTCGCCCAGGACGGTTACCACGGTGACCTGTGACTGCAGCAGCTCCTCGAAAGGCAACTGCTGCGGAGGGGACAGGGGAGGTGTCAGGGACCTGGTGGCACTTGTGGCCTCCTGCGGTGGTTCCGTGCCCTCCCTGGGTCCCCTCTGTCCCCCCTTGTCCCCGCTGCCGCCACACTCGTAGCCCCCACTGTCTCCTCGGCCACGCCCCGTGTCCCCTCCCACACCGTGTCCCCCTATCCCGCACCGCCTCTTGCACCCCTTTCCCCTCCCCGCTTCCTGCCACTCCGTCCTGTCCCCTCCCGCCACCCGCCGTGTCCCCCCCATCCCCTATTGCTCCCCAACCCCGCGGCCCCGCCCCTCCCCGCGGACCCTCTGCCCCTCCCCCACCTCCGCCCCCCGCCGCACCTGTGGGGGCTCCATGCTCCCTGGGGACACCCTGGGGACACGGGGGGCCCCGAGTGGATTTTGGGGTGATTTTGGGGGCATTTGGGGTCGCTTTGGGTTCCTTGCCCTGATTTTGGGGGATTTTTGTGGAATTTCGAGGTTCTTGGCCAGATTTTGGGGGGATTTGGGGGAATTTTGGCGTCCCTGACTGCATTTCAGGGGTCCCTGGCAGGATTTTGGTGCAATTTGGAGGGATTTTGGTGCAATTTTGGGTGATTTTGGTGCAATTTTGGGGTCTCTCACCGGATTTTGGGCTGTTTTGGTGTTATTTCGGGGAATCTTGGGGTATTTTGGTGTAATTTCAGGGCATTTTGGGCTAATTTTGGGATCCTTGACTGAATTTTGGGGCAATTTTGTGATCCCGGATGGGATTTGGGGTAATTTTGGGGTATTTTGCTGCAATTTTGGGGTGTTTTGATGCAATTTTGGGCTATTTTAATAGAATTTTAGGCTATTCTGGTGCCATTTTGGGCTATTTTGGTGCCATTTGGGGCTATGTTAATGCAATTTTGGGCTATTTTGGTGTAATTTAGAGGCAATGTGATGAAACTTCGGGCTATTTTGGTGCCATTTTGGGCTATTTTACTGCAGTTTTGGGCTACTTTAATGCAATTTTGGGCGTATTTTTCTGCAATTTTGGTGCAATTTGGGACTAATTTACTGCGGTTTGGGGCATTTTAATACAATTTTGGGTTATTTTAATGCAATTTTGGGGCTATTTTGCTGCAATTTTGGGCTATTTCGGTGTAATTTTGGGCTATTTTGCTGCAAGTGCCATTTTGGGCTATTTTACTGCAGTTTTGGGCTACTTTAATGCAATTTTGGTGCAATTTGGGACTATTTTACTGCAGTTTGGGGCATTTTAATACAATTTTGGGTTATTTTAATGCAATTTTGGGGCTATTTTGCTGCAATTTTGGGCTATTTCGGTGTAATTTTGGGCTATTTTGCTGCAATTTTGGGCTATTTCGGTGTAATTTTGGGCTATTTTGCTGCAATTTTGGGCTATTTCGGTGTAATTTTGGGCTATTTTGTTCTATTTGGGTGTAATTTTGGTGCAGTTTGATGTAACTTTGTGGTTTTCTCTGTAATTTTGGGCTGATTTTGTGCAGTTCCGGGTTTTTCTCTGTAACTCGGGGGCTGCTTTGCCGCGATCCCGCTGTGCTTTTGGGGTGGCTGAGGGCGCTTTTGGGGTGTCCCCGCAGACTGCCGCAGCCCCGACAGCTCGAGCGCCGCCTCCCCTCCCCCCCCCGTGTTTTCCCCAGGATTTTGGGTTTTTCCCCAGAATTTTGGGTGTTTTCCCAGGATTTTCGGTGTTTTCCCCAGGATTTTGGGTGTTTCCCCAGGATTTTGGGTGTTTTCCCAGGATTTTCGGTGTTTTCCCCAGAATTTTGGGTGTTTTCCCCAGAATTTTGGGTGTTTTCCCAGAATTTTGGGTGTTTTCCCCACAATTTTGGGTGTTTTCCCCAGGAGTTTGGGTGTTTTCCCCAGGATTTTGGGTGTTTCCCCAGGATTTTGGGTGTTTCCCCTGGATTTTGGCAGTTTTTCCCAAAGTTGTTGTTTTTTGCCCCAGATCAACTCGACGGTGGGGCTGCCACTGCTTCCACTCCAATTTTGGGTGTTTTCCCCAGGATTTTGGGTGTTTTCCCCAGGATTTGGGGTGTTTTCCCCAGGATTTTCGGTGTTTCCCCAGGATTTTGGCAGTTTTTCCCAAAGTTGTCGTTTTTTGCCCCAGATCAACTCGACGGTGGGGCTGCCGCTGCCCCCCGGGGGGGGTCCCGAGGACGTGAAGCCCCCCCTGGGCATCCGGGGTCCCCCCCCCTGCGCCCCCCACGGCCCCGGCAAGCGCCTCTGCGCCATCTGCGGGGACAGGAGCTCGGGTGAGAGACACTTTTGGGGTGAAAAACCGGGATTTTGGGCAAAAAATGGGAGTTCGGGGGAAAATGGGGGAAAAAAAAGGGATTTTGGGGGAAAAAATGGGGAAAAAAGAGGGAAGAATGGGGATTTGGGGGTAAAGGAAGTGCCTCTGTGCCATCTGTGGGGACAGGAGCTTGGGTGAGCGGGGTTTGGGGCGAAAAACCGGGATTTTGGGCAAAAAATGGCAATTCGGGAGGAAAAAAAGGGATTTTTGGGGAAAAAATGGGAATTTTGGGGGGGAAATGGGGATTTGGGGGCAAAGAAAGCGCCTCTGTGCCATCTGTGGGGACAGGAGCTCGGGTGAGTGAGATTTGGGGCAAAAACCAGGGATTTTGGGCAAAAAATGGTAAAAAACTGGAATTTGGGGGGGAAAAAGGGATTTTTTTGGGGAAAAATGGGAATGTTGGAGGGAAAATGGGTATTTGGGGGGCAAAGGAAGCGCCTCTGCGCCATCTCTGGGGACAGGAGCTCGGGTGAGCAGGGTTTGGGGCGAAAAACGGGGATTTTGGGCGAAAATGGGGAAAAAAATGGGAATTTGGGGGGAAAAATGGGGAAAAAGAAGGGACTTTTGGGGAGAAAATGGGGGAAAATGGGGATTTTGGGGGAAAAGAAAGCGCCTCTGCGCCATCTGTGGGGACAGGAGCTCGGGTGAGCAGGGTTTGGGGCGAAAAACGGGGATTTTGGGCGAAAATGGGGAAAAAAATGGGAATTTGGGGGGAAAAATGGGGAAAAAGAAGGGACTTTTGGGGAGAAAATGGGGGAAAATGGGGATTTTGGGGGAAAAGAAAGCGCCTCTGCGCCATCTGTGGGGACAGGAGCTCGGGTGAGCAGGGTTTGGGGCGAAAAACGGGGATTTTGGGCGAAAATGGGGAAAAAAATGGGAATTTGGGGGGAAAAATGGGGAAAAAGAAGGGACTTTTGGGGAGAAAATGGGGGAAAATGGGGATTTTGGGGGAAAAGAAAGCGCCTCTGCGCCATCTGTGGGGACAGGAGCTCGGGTGAGCAGGGTTTGGGGGGAAAAACCAGGATTTTGGGCAAAAAAGAGGAATTCGGGGGAAAATGGGGAAAAAATGGGATTTTTGTGGAAAATGGGAAAAAAGAGGGAAAAATGGGAATTTGGGGACAAAGGAAGTGGCTGTGCGCCATCTGCGGGGACAGGAGCTCGGCTGAGAGACACTTTTGGGGCGAAAAACCGGGATTTTGGGCAAAAAAAGGGAATTCGGGTGGAAAATGGGGGGAAAAAAGGGATTTTTGGGGAAGAAATGGGGAAAAAAGGGGATTTTGGGAGAAAAGAAAGTGCCTCTGCGCCATCTGCGGGGACAGCAGCTCGGGTGAGAGACACTTTTGGGGGGAAAAACGGGGTTTTGGGCAAAAAATGGGAATTTAGAGGGAAAATGGGGATTTGGGGGGAAAAATGGGAATTTGAGGAAAAAATGGGGGGAAAAAGAGGGAAAAATGGGGATTTGGGGAGCAAAAAAAGTGGCTGTGCGCCATCTGCGGGGACAGGAGCTGGGGTGAGCAAGATTTGGGTCAAAAAATGGGGATTTTGGGCAAAAAAATGGTAAAAAACTGGAATTTTTGGGGAAAAAGAGTAAAAAATGGGATTTTTGGGGAAAAAATTGGGAAAAATAGGGGAAAAAAGGGATTTGGGGGGCAAAGGAGATGGCTGTGCAGCATCTGCGGGGACAGGAGCTCGGGTGAGCAAAATCTGGGGCAAAAAAATGGGATTTTGGGTAAAAAATGGGCCTTCGGAGGGAAAAAATGGGAATGTGGGTGAAAAAATGGGGAAAATAGAGGAA